ACCCATATGTGAGCTGTCAGAGAAAACTGGACCAAGAAGGCGTTAAGGAAAAGGTCACTGCAAATTACAAGGCTACTCTACATCGTGGTGGTGTTACAACTGGACAAGTTTATTCATAAAGTACATGAATGTGTTTTTTCATTCAGATCTCCCGGCCACAGTGCTGGTGTGACTGATAAATAGACTTAAGGCCAACAATGTTAATCCTTTTTTTTTTTTTTCCCTTAATTTCCTTAATTTTGCTTCATGTGTTTCACCAGACAGCTGAAGCTTTAGAGTAGAAAGAACAAAACCACTGGGTGTTGGCTGGCTACCTGCCAAAGTGGCTTAGCTGAAATTTCTCAAACATTTGGCAGGTGGTTGGTGGTCATTTCCCACCCAGCATGCAACTCCCTGGCCTGGCCTCAGATCAGACCAGAAACCATCTCTGCTGCATGACTCCTGCCTTGTAAACCTCTCACTTTACTAACAGAGACATGTGCCAGTACAACTGGATCTGTGGTCGTCCTGAAAAGGGAGCATCTGAGTACAGCTTTGAACATCACAGAGTTCAATATGGATATTTGGAATGATTTGGCCTGTTGAACAAAGCACTTTGTAACGGAATCACATTGCAGCTATAAAAACGTGGATGGGGTATTTAAGGCTAAACAAACAAACAAACAATACATCTCCAACCTGCTCAATCGTTTCAGTGGTAACATGTTATCCAGAAAAAGGGGGAAAAAAGTGGAATTTGTCTTCTCTTTAGCCTCAGTTAAACATGACTTGACAACATGACACCATCTGACAAACAGTGGAACAGTCATGCTCACGCAGCGTAATCCTCCCAAAGAACGTCATTGCGATTCCAAACCAAAGGTGTGGGTCACTTGGTTGCACGGGCGAGATGCGGTCGAACACATTCTGCTCGGAGGACACAAATTAAGTGATTAGGCTTCCCTCAGGGACATCCAGGTCAGCAGCAGGGTGACTGTTGGCTGGTGATCTGCTCTGTGGTGGCACATGTTGTTTCGGAGAGCAGCATGGTCCTCTGCTCCGTGTCAGGGACCGAGTTAGAGAGCTTGCAACTCCAAATGAGGTCCCCCCGAATTGCCTCCACCTAATGTGACCTCTTGGCTGCCGGACAAAAGATTGAATTTTCAATCACGGCTGCAGATAATCAGTAATCTCCTCCAGCCGCTGCGTCTCTGCCAAGTTTGCCATCTTTTCCATCTTCTTATTGCACTCTCCCTGGTGAATAACATCCCCCTGTTTTCAGCCTAGTTGCTGCATAGTTTTAAGAAGCCCCGCGCGGATGGCCCTATCTGACCGCCATGCATCCTTTGGAATATCTTACACCCCAACAGGTGCTTCTCTTATATCCTTTTCTACTTAATTGGACCAGGCGGGAGCATCAGCTCATTGCTCGGGTTGTCAAATCTTAAATGTTTGGGTGATTTTTATGAGCGTTGCAGGGGTCGAGGGGAGGACGAGCGCCAGTTTTTTCTAAAAAAAAAACCCTTGTGAATTGAGAAGTGGGTCGGGTTTTCAGATGGTTTTCAGAGGGAGGCATAGCTGAAATGTCCACAGCCAAAGTAGGTCACGGTTAAACTTAATAAATCTCCTGTATGAGTGGAAGCGAAAGATGTGGCCCTGTAAAATGCTATGAGGTCATTTCTTTTCACAAGGGGGAAGGAAATTGTCTAGGGGTGGGAATGCACTTTATAAGGCAATGCGGAGAACTGACTGATGATGCTTGTTTTTACAAGAGGCAGAGATTTATCTCGAAGGAGCAGACAAAGAGCCGCATTCTTGCGGAAGATGATCAATTAAGCGTCACAAAAAGTCTTTGGCTTATTGTTGAAGTTTCTTGGAAGTGATGCATGGACTCCATGCTAGGTTTAGATGGATGCTATTCTTCCTAAATCTCCATATTAGCTCAGCTCCCTGCATAGTCCCACAATTTGGCCATTATTATCACGTAACTAGACAAGTTGATGTAAAGTAAATGGCATACCGCTGCTTTTAGCCACTTCATTTTCCCTCCTTTGAGCATTAGCTTGCTCTGACTCCTTTGTTTTTATTCTTTTCATTCATTTAATTTGACACACCGGGGTTTTCAGAGCGCTTAACTGCTGTCTGGGTCTGTCGAGAGCTGGGGAGTGCTCAATTAATTTCTTTTATTAACAGTTTTGGCATGTTTGAGAAAGTGGGGGTGGGGGACATTTTGGCAATGTTTCGTCTGCCAGTTTCCACTAATTAACTTGCTTGAGGTACAGTATTTATTGTTTACAACAATGCAGGGAATCAAAAGTAATGGCTCTTACAAACTTGCACATTCACTTTATTATTATATATATATTTTATATATAGGCCTCTTTTGTTTGGTCGAGCAGCACATTATAGCCCTGACAGTTATTTTAGAGACAACATCCCTCACGTCACATTTACACCGTCGTTATACCAGAACCTGCCTCTGGCAACAGTTTTGGTTCTTAATTATCATGGAATGATTAGAAAAGTTCAACACTTCATAATTCTATTTTTAGAGCTTCACAATGTGGATGATTCAGTTAATAAATTGATTTGATCATTCATTTAATCTTACGGCCATCCAAGCCCGATGGGAGCTGAATGCTCGTCCTCTCACGTTTCATGCCAGCGCGCATATGAACATTTCACAAAATCACACACTGCTTTAGTTTGGGCTGAAGTCAGACCATCCTCCTCCCCTGCACAGATCTGAAGTGGATGCTGACTTGTGTGTAACCAAACACCTCCCAGGAGGCTGCCGCAGGGGCAATTGTCATCAGGTTGTGCGTCTCCGCCTGGGACAGGGGACTTCACATGGCTATTTTAATTTTGTTTTGAAGTCTGAACTGTCGCTCTGCTGCCACACTTGACACTGGAATTGCCAGCCCCACTTCAAGCCAGTGTTTTGAAGTCGGCTAGCCCAAGAGCATGTGCCCAAATTCAGAGGATAAAGTCCTTGTCGTGGCCGGCCGAGGTCAGAGTTCAGCCCGCAGTTGTTTGCTGCATGTCGCCAACTATTTTATCTCTTTTTTTTTTTTTTCGCCCTCAACTGTCTGTTATCACAAATGAAGGCAAATAAAAAAAACTCCCCTCATTTCCTGTCAGTGCTATAAAAAAAATCTGTTTTCTTACTTAACTATAACTCTTTCTTGTATGTTCTCCGTATTCACAAGGAATCAAATGAAGTTTACCTGTCAAAGTTTTGGCCCCAGCGATTGAAAAGCCACTTTCTACAAGATTTCCGGCCAAAACGCTGTTTTTTTTCTCTTGTTTTCTCCTTCCGCTCGCAGAAACACATTTGCGTGGGGAGGACGGCCTCGCGCCCTTGACATTTTCAGTTAGCTCGGATTGAATTAAGGACACCTTGCGAGCGTCAGCGCTAAGAAAATGACCTTGCGCGCATCGGCGGCACCTGTTGCCAGCCCCTGCTCGGTTTACTCTCCCTCCATTCTTTTTGTTTTCTCCCCGGTAAACCTTATTACAGTCAACAAAGTGAGCCTGTGTTACTCTGTTTGACATTTCCAAGTGCGAATATCTCTCTGTGACAAAGAGGCTTCTCTTTATTGCCTGGCCATGTGCTCGTGGGTGGAAGCTCCATTGTACGTCCTTCACAATTGCTCATGGAGGCTATGCATTCTGTGACATTATCCGCTTTGGTGAACCTAAGTGAAAGCTTCGACTTAGTCAGAAGATTGATTCCTCTGCTTTATGTCCTTCATATCCGCAGTGCTGCCAGGCAGCACTCACCCACCTCTTGCATTAGTCGCTATAGGCAGCTGGCCTGTACTGTCACCTTGTTTCAGGAAGAAGTGATAGATTTGAGCTCTTAGCGGCCGTATTTACAGCAAAGTGCTGTATTTGCAGTTCACATGGCTCTTTCAGAGACGGCGTAATACCTGAATGGCGGCGCTCTCAATAGGAACTGTCGAGGTGCTGCAGCTGGCCTTGGCTGGGGAACAAAAACGACGGGCTTGTCTTGCTTTTTAGATTCAGGAGCAGTCACACTTAGAAATGCATCAACACAAATAAGCTTGAGTTTGTCTTCTCGGGGAGTGCTTCCGGACCGATGTCAACCTGCAATTTAACAACAGTTTGACGCAAACAAAAAATTGCATGATCTTTGATTGTTTTGTTTTTTTTCATTCGTCAAACATCCTAAAACAAAGAAAAGGGGAACCAGTTTGTGTCTAGTTTAAAAACCAGAGCCAACCCCCCCATTCAACTAAAATATTAAGATTATTTTTTAGAGCCTAACATCTGACAGAGATGTGTTTCAAGGTTTATGCCTGCATTTGCAAAGTCACACATCTACTATTCTTCTCTTTTTCTACCAGTTTTTCTGCACACCGTTCTGCACAGTTGCTTTCACTGATCTGGAAACATGGGACTCCTCATACAGCTGCATTCTTTAGAAATCCCGTAAAACAGGAACTCCAAGAGCGGAGGGGGCTCTACGCGGGGGCCATCAGTGCTAACGCGTTCTCTTGCTTCTTTCTGGTTGTCCGTGTTCTGTATCCATCAGTCGTCACAAGCCCTTGCAAAACATGGGATTTTTTTTTTCTCCTTCCCCCTCAACCTTTTTCTGTTTATCATTATTTGCACCTGTTGCTGTGAAATAGTTTGGTGGGGGCTTCTCCCCCAGGACAGAGGGGTCGGATCGCTGCAGGCGGCTCTCGGATGTTGCACGGATGTGACGCAATGTTGATAGAATCCTTGTCCTTTTCTCTGTGCCGGCATTTCGTGCAAAGCTATTAAGATGGACCTATTAGGAAGGCCTAAGTTTTCAACGCCACGTCTTGGCTCACAATCCCCAAGGAGAACGCGGGTGTCCCGCCTCGGGGTTTCGTTGAAAGCCAGCTCCTGCAGCACAAGTTAAAGCTTTTTTCCTTTCATTTACTTATTACTGTCAAGAATCTCTCTCTTTTTTTCCCCCTTCTATTTATTTTGGATGTAAAGAAAGATGTTGAGGAAACAATAGGAACCACATGTCAGGTGAGGTAATCCTCCCCAGGGATGGGATTCATGCTTTTTTTTTTTATCCCCCTCAACCTTTTTTTTGTTTATCATTATTTGCACCTGTTGCTGTGACATAGTTTAGCAGGGGCTTCGTGGGAAAAGGATTTGATGAGAGAAAATCACTGTCGGGGGGGGGGGGTTGGATGCTCAGAGGCAGGGTGACCTTGCCTGCCTGTGAAGTAGCCACTCTGCGCATGCTTCCGTCCACAGCTGCTAATGTTGCTGAACAGAGACCGGGCATTAACTGGTTTTTACTAAAGCCAGCCTCTCATTTAAAAAAAAACAAAAAAAACATTACATTTTCTTAAATCAACCTCCTCCACTTGGGGGTAAGCCCTCATTTCTGGAAGCTGCAACCAGCATTTCCTCTACATCATGATTTGACCGGCGGCGGAGAGCAGATGATCGCGTAAATTTGAGCTCCATTCTTTATTTGTTTCGTACCCTCTCTGTTAAATTATGGAGGCATTAAGTGCCCCAATGACAACAAGGCAATTTGGCTAAGAAGGCTGGGCCTAGAAGGCTTGAATGATAAAAGGAAAATTGGAGAAATAAGTGGCTCTAAACGTACAAAATAACAAATCCTTTTTTTTTTGTTGTGGAAAATATTCTTCGAAAAGCTCAGAAATCTCCACTCTGTTGGATTTTCTTTCTTTTTTTTCCCCCACAGCCTGCCCCGAACCTCATTAATCACACATAAGAACCCCCAAATACAGACGGCAAAATGATTTCAGCACTCGAGACCTCGGCAGAGCCGGCTGGAAAATTATTCAAATTGATACATTTGTAGCAGTTTCACGGGAGCTGAATGCTGGGTAATGACGGCTTCAGGGAGGGGGGGTGGCATGTAATCTCAGAAGTGCTTTTGACTTTCGTGAGCAGCTTCCAAAACCCTTTGCGCATAAACGCTCAGCTGACCTCTTCTGGGGGGACCTCAACAAGACCCCCTATGGGTTATCTCTATCAGGCAGAGTTCAGCTACAATATCCACAGAGGAAAGGGGAGCATGGAACTCGGCCCACCAGCTTTTTGTTTGTTTTTGCTTGGTTTTCTACAGCAAACGGGTTCTGTCCGTCGTCAGTCTTGTCAGTGGTCTTAACTGGCTTAAGTCTGACAGATGGCGACTGACAGCCTGTCATGATGCCTTTTCCCTGGATAGAAAAGCATCTGCCTTGGTCGATTCTCTGGAAATCAAAGTCAGCTCTACTTGCTATTTTTTTTATTCTTTCATTTTTTGCTTTTTTTTTGGGGGCGGGAGGGACATTGACCGACAAAAGCTGAGTTCTCCAGCTCGCCGATAACCATCAGTCATGACTTGCTGGCTCTGATCTTTTATGTTTTAAAAGAAAAATAACCTTAATTTTTCATTAAAAAAATTAATTAATTAATTTTTGCTTTTCCCTGACTGTTGGAATGCAAATAGAAAACCACAGGTTGCTTTTGTTATGCCTCCACTTCATTTTTATACTTTGCCGATTTAAAGAAATGTCCCTTCACTCATTATTCATGAAAGGTAAAAAAGAAAATTCTATGGCCAGGACGGTCGTAAAATAACTTTTTGTCGTCTGGTTTTGGAGGCTGCACCTGATCCTGATGAGGTCCTTGAGTCGTGTTAACTTTAGGGGAAAGCATAGATGCATATGTGGGCTCATATCTACTGGAGCAATTGACAGAAATCCACATTGGTTGTGTTCAGGTGCCATCCTGGGACGTTCAGAGACGCAGGAATGTGTGTACTACAACTCCAGCTGGGAGAAGGATCGGACCAACCGCAGCGGCATCGAGCCCTGCTACGGTGAGCCGGAAAAGCGCCGGCACTGCTTTGCCACGTGGAAGAACGTCTCTGGCGCCATTGAGATCGTCAAGCAAGGGTGCTGGCTGGATGACGTCAACTGCTACGACAGGTACGCCATTAGACTCCATTAGACTGCATAACGCACAAACATGAACACAAATAAACTTGGCAAACCAGTACCTCACATCGCTTCTGGAAGGGGTCACGTTGCAGAATTGTATGATTTTTAGTGGAAGATCGTCTGTCCTCCTGCCCCACTTGTGCTCCGTTGTGGCATTTTAGGATTAGTTCTTGGTCTTGCTGCTCATTATGCTCTTAACTGGCAGCCTGATCCTTATGTTTTGGTCAGTTATGACAATTCCTTGTGAATTCCACAACAATAAAGACAACAATAAAGCATCAGCGACACATTAGCATAGATTTTATGCCTCTATAGTCCAGCTCATCAGGCAAAGGACCATATCAAGGAGGACTTTATTGCTGAAAGGAAGTGACAGTGACACCACTCTCTCTGAGACATTTAATCTAAATACATTTGATTACCCTGAGCACAGTGTTTAACATCCATCCTAGCACTCTTATATCAAAGACATTTGCACATGGCTCTATTTTAATCCTTGCGACGGAGACGATTTGAAGTTGTCCGCGCATCTCTGTTGAAAATGGATTCCTGGTGCCTGCGTCCAGGCGTCTAAAGAGAGGCCAGTAAACAGATATTAATAGAGGGTATCACGATAGTTTCTCGCCTGCGGGAACATGAACCTGGCATCCGATGCCGGTTTGAGGCAGTTTGTGTTTTCCTTTGATTCCGGAGCGATAAAGTTGCAGTCGAAAAAAGTGCAGCCCGCACAGTTCGGGTACCTCTGCTCAGACGGCGCCGCCTGGCCTCCCTGGAGAGCGGAGAGCAAGTCGAGGGCGGCTGCCACTTCCTTTGGCTTTTATCTGATGACTATGAGAGTGAAATGGAGAGTGTGTGTGTGTGTGTGCGCGTGTGATCGGGAGCGCACTCGTGTGTATTGGCTTGCGTGGGAGTTATTTTATAAATGTTTTGTTTCATGTCCTCGGCGGCTATAAGAGAATGAAGTGGGAAGAGGGGAGTGTGTGCTAGTGAGTAGGTGTGTGTCTTCATGCTTTTTGCATAACATCAGCGTGTGTGTGTTTCTGACTCCCACCTCCATGTCCTCCAACAGCAACGAGTGTGTAGAGAAAAAGGACAACCCCGACGTTTTCTTCTGCTGCTGCGAAGGCAACATGTGCAACGAGAGGTTCATGTACACCCCTGATTCTCCCCCGCAGAACGACCTGCGCCATTCAACCGCCTACAGTACGTACAAGTCCAACACAGCAGCATCCCACTGAGAGTGGCATTCAATGGTTCTATTCCAGTCTGTTTCCTTGGTCTGAATCCTTTCTTACATGTGCTGAGCTTAAGGTGCACAAAAGCAGGCCAATGGTATATTTCTTGTGTAAAATTGAGCAAATAGGTGCTTAAGCGCCAGCATGGTCTTGTGCAAAGTAAGTGATGTAGGGTACTTCTACCCTGGATGGCTGCCATCTTCTCAGCTTCCAGGTGTTCAGGTCTTTAAGATATAAAGGGCTTTCGAGGAACATATCCTGCTCTGAAACGGGCTAGATTAAATGAGGATTTGAGTTGATTCAATGAAACTTAATGGTGTGAATAAGAACAAAACTGTTTGTTTTTCTTTTTTCTTTTTTTTTTTTCAATGATAAAAAATAGTGTTTTCTTGTAAAACCTCCTAGTTTAACAGATTATTTAGTATTAATAAAAAGTTTTGGTCTTATTTGGTATTTGTTGAAGCTGCCTTAGCTTGCACCTTTTCTCTGAGCCTCTTCCCTCTTTTATTTGGTCGCTCCGGCCCAAAGGTCCCAGGTGAGAGGGTTTATTAAGGGGTTAGCTCTCAGTGACCAGGGAGCGTTTGAGCGACAGCTCATTGGGAGATTTCCCGGCTTTAATATGTTGGACTTTGAGCAGCAGCAGCAACACCAGGCGCTCTCGCAGCTGTGCCGCATTCCTTTGAAATTAAAACAATGAGCGTTCGCCACATAGTTTCTCCGCATTTAGACGCTTTGTCGTTTCGACCTTCGGCCACAGCCATGTTTCGCAGCGCTAATTGGCTTTTACCACTCAAACAAAGACAGATGTATTGATTTCTCATGGGGCTACGTCTTCGCATGAAATCTTAACATAGTAGACTCCTCATAAACCCAAAAAAAACGCTCTCCCTATCATCTCAGAGCAAAAGAGTAAAGTTGCAAAAATGGTACCTGTTTCCTCCCTTTCTCCATTTTTTAAATCAATATTTGAAGACTTTGCATTTGGGCTTTGTTCGCAACAATACGATTCTGCACCTAAGAGAGCCTCAAAGAGAGAAAAGCCACTCGAGCGCTGGAACTCACAGATGACGTGTCCCGAAACATCTGTGTGATCTAAATCGGACACGTCCAGGAAAGTTTCGGTCCCGTTTTGAAGGACGGATTGCTCCAAACGAGGCAAACTGCCACCCTCCACAGATGCCACCACCATTTTTTGCAGACTTAAATGGCTTGAAAATAGAAAACATCAGGTCACAAAAAACCTGAAGTGGGCTCCGTGGAGAGACTGAATGTCAGGGGGACGTCTTTGCCGCCGAATGAACAGTGTTAGGAGTTTTGTTTTTAGCTTGACTTTTTCACTCTAAAAAAAGAGGGAAAAAAAGCGATTTCTATGCAGCAGAGATCCGATTAAAAGCCAAACTTGACTGGCATAGAGTATTCCGCTTTCTCCAGCAGCGGCACCTCTGATGTCCTTGCACTTAACAGCCAACAGGCTCGTCTGTCTCTTTGTGTTCCTTTGAATTTGACTCCAAGAAACCTGCAGAGAGAAAGAAGAAGGGTAAAAAAAACAACTCGGAAACCCCTCGGAGAGTCCCACAGAGCAGCTGGTGCTATCCCCCCCCCCCCCCCAATTCTCTCCCTGACTGACCACCCCCCCTTTCCCCGCCCCCCTCGCCCTCTGGACGATGGCAACCACGGCACCTCGTGACGGGAGGACGGGCTGAGCCAGCGGGCGTCAGCCGCTGACCACTGCAGGGTCTCGAACAGTTCAGAACTCTGTTATTTTTGGCAGGCGGATTACGTTATGTCACGAGATGGATTTGCTAATCCTGCTGCGTGTGTGCGCGTGTGCGTGCGTTGATATGATCTCTAAGCACAGTGGCAGTAAGCCGAGTGAAGGCTCACTTCGACATGACGGCGGCTTAATGCCGGGCCAATTCTTTGGCAGAGTCCAGTTGAGTGTCTTTGCCCTCTGATGTGTCCATTTTCTTTCGTTTGTCCAACCTGCAGCCACCTCCAACCCGTTTTCCCAGAAGCCCCAGCTCTTCAGTACCCTGCTCTACTCCCTGGTTCCCATTGTGGGCCTGGCCGCCGTGGTCGTCCTCTCGTTCTGGATGTGGAGGCATCACAAACTGGCGTACCCAGCTGCGCTCGTCCCCACTCATGTAAGTCTTTCTTTTTCTCCTTTTTTTCCCACTCATTTTTCTGTTTGCGCGTGCGTGTCTTTCGGACTGTATTTGCTCCCTCGGACTGGTTCTTTGGAGGCCACCGGCAGGACAGTGGTGTCTGCTTTCCTCAAAGCTGCTGCGGATGCAGTTCGAGTTCCTCTTTCTGCCTGTTCAGCCACACTGACCACCGGAGTCCTGCCCCGTCCGTTAATTGCCAACAAAAGGGAAATGCAAAGCGCCTCGGTTTCCCGCCTGTCAAACGATTTCTCTGGCTGAATCGGACACTCGCAAGCACAAAACCAGTTTACCTTCCACCTGCCATGGAAGGGCCCTGAGAATGTTGCACCGCCTCCCTCCGGGCCACAGAGCGCTCAGCTTCACCCCTGTTCTCTCTGGGTACCAAGCTACGGCCAGCCGCGAGGGACAAGTCGCGCTGGGATATGTGCTACTCTCAGCCCTCTCTTTCAAAGCTTGAAAAGGAGGATGTACCTCCTTCTCCAGCCGCCTCTTTGAGAGAGGACCCATGTCATGACCTGCCCTGCAGCTGGTGAGACGTCGGGAGGTTTAAGAAAGCGGTTCACATTGTGTCAGACAGGCATTTGAATCACTCATAAGAGTTATGTGAGTAGACCTAAACATTTTGCGTTGCTCCAGTTAAAATAAAGTTGTCGGTTTTTTCTTTTTTTTTCCTACATCAGATGGTGGACCCGTTCACCTCCCCTCATAACAGACTCACAAGGCCTCTTTTACCTTCCCTGTTATTCTCACCTGCATGTTTTTTTTCTCTTTGCTTTTTTCATCGCCGCCTTTATGTAAAAACCTGATATCTGAAACGTCTGATCGTGCTCGTGTCTTCACTTGATTCGTGCCACCTTTTTTAAACTTTCAATACTCAAACGCCCCAGTATTCCAGGACGGAATAGGAAGCCATTTGCCCAGATTTCTTATTCATTGAGTTCCTGTGATTTAGAGGCTTTATTTATTTTTTATTTATTCTTTTCTCGTCGGACTGCAGCACAGCTATATTCTGGGCTTCTTGGCAGCAGAGGAAAAAGAAAAGCCATGCAAAGCTTTAGTACCGTATGGAAGAGGAGTCAGGGGCCTCTGCATTATTGATGAGGCTTTATATAGGCAAACAAAACTAAACACAGAGAAGCTCGCAGCTCTACCTCCGAGGATGGCAGCGGTGGGTTGGAGAGCCGGGGAGCTGTGGGGGAGGGAGCGAAAGAGCCGTGCAGTTCTCTCAACTTACTTATTGTATTTGCACAGCGCTGAAGCTCAGCGGGGTGAGATAAAAAAGACAGTTACACAATGCAATGTGGAAACAAAGCTAATGTGCGTTGGAAAAACAACACCGCTAAGAGGCTTACAGGAGCGCCTTACCTGGAAAGGGATAAATGGGTGAAAACAACAACAAAAAAACCAAGCAACATAAAACAAGATTATGTCCAAATAGGGAGCGGGTCGGGTGTCCGAGGACGGAATAAGACAAGCACTTAAGGATTCACGAGGTCAGAGGGGAATAAAATGAAATGGCCATCGTGGAGCAAAGGAATTCATGCTAAGTGTGTGTGTCTGTGCGTGTGTTCACGTGCATATCTGCATTAACGCGGGAATGAAGAGGTGTAGAGAGGAGCAGGAGGGGCTTTAAAAAAAAGAAAAAAAAAAGGTCACTCACCCGGTAATGTTTTTAAATGTCAGCTCATAGTCAATATTGGGAGGAGGCGAGGTGGTAAACTCCTCCCGTCCGCCTGTGCACAGGTATTAAAACAAACGTCTCCAGAGTTGGATTTGCTATTTATCACGCCTGGGTTTTCTTTTGGGGGGTGGAGGTTTTTGCTTTTTATCTGCATATTAAAGGTAAAGAGAACAATCAAGGACATCATTTGTGGGGAGATTTGTCTCAACTTTGATGTAAAGTCACGGAAAAAAGACCAAACACCACCTCTTTCCAGATCAGGGCGGGTGCCTTCCTCCAACTCCACACCTGTTTTATTTTTTGAAGGAGATCTTTAGACATTAGGCGTCGTGTTCTGGTATCGCCTTCCAGCGGCACTGCGATATGTCAAAAGCAAGTGGAAGCCTCATCTATGCTTCGTCATGCCTCTCCCTGCACTGTACTCAATCATGTATTTTTAATGTGACAGCAGCCGAGTGGCCACACCTCTCCAATCCAAAGCATTCTGCGTGCGCTTTGCTGATGAATTCTGGGTATCACAAACCCACTTTGACCTCGGTTTTGGTCTCTAGCCTTTCCAGTTTGCCCTCCTTTTCTTTTTGTTTCTTCTGTCCTTTGCATGTCTTACTTGGGTTTGTTAGTGTAAACCTCATTTTTGAGGTTTTTTTTCACAATCTTTTATCTCTGGGAGGTTATTTTGATCCCTATTATTAGTATTCTTGTCACCTCGTCGACCCGATTTTTTCCGTTTTTTGGTTGTTGTTTTTTTTAGAATTGTGGGTGCTCACCTTGTAGCCTTTGTACGCTTCTTTTTGTGCGGGGTTGTGTTGGCCCTTTCTTTGTGGTCCAATTGTTCATTTTTCATCTCTCTTTATATCTCTCCTTAACCAGTCTTTAGTTGGTTGTTTTGTTCAGTTGTGGTACATTTTCAGTGCTTTTCAGTTCTGTATTACCCTTTGGATTTTTCACATTTCACTCAACTTTAAAGGAATGTTAATGTCTCTTTGTCCATCTTTTTGTGTTTTTTCCTATCATTTCATGTACCCCGGGAACATCATATTTTGGTCATTTGAAAGTCACTGTGTTAGTTTGCATTTGATTCTTGTCATTTTGTCTTTTCTTCATGCTCACTTTGCATCTCCATGTCATTGGAGCCATCAGGTGTCTCTTTATTTACATCTTTATGTGCCTGAGATGAGAACAGGGACCCTCACTAACCCTCCAGCAACAATAAAGCACACATTTCAAGCCTTTCTGAATATTTCAGCCTTGTTTACCTCTTTCCGTGCCACACCAGGCCACTGCTATTTTTGTCAAGGAAATAAAACGTGCAGCCTTCACGCAGCTAAAGTAATTGCTCCAACTTAATGATCATGATTGGATCCATTAACACGCCTCTGCTGTCTAATTTTACAATGCAAGGCTCCGGCAACATCGAAATTAAGAAAACTCGCTGAGGGAAATAAGCTCTTAAGCACATGGAGGTTGTCAAATTGACATCAGACCAGGTTACAGGTGGACCTAAAAAAAAAATCATTTTTAAAATGGCTGATTTATAACATCAGAAAAGGCACGTTCACATCTCTTCCACAGTCATTGAATTTCCCAACTCAGAAACTCAGCCTTTGTGATAGTAGTCCATCAGGGGCTGCATTTTTGCCACCGGGCCACCATTATTCGCACCTCGGCGACAAGTGGTTGCAAACTGGAATTGATTGTGAGCGAGTACACAAACCCACAGCTTTCACACGGACAGGCCAAAGAATCAGAAAAGGCCCTGCCTTTAAAAAAAAAAAACATTTTTAACCAAACCCCATTTTCATAGCTTTGTCAACAACTGATGCAATCTTGAATTTAATTGAGTAGAGAAAAATAAAAAACATACATATTGTTTATGTCGAATAAACCATATATTGAAATGAATTTATATTTCTTTGAAAAATTTAAGTGGCATAATACAAATTAAGTAAGTGCAGAAGGAAATTTGTGTCTTTGTCCAAGGAGTGGATTCTCTGCTGTCCATTTTCTTCCCTTTTTTTGTTTTCCACACATTCTTCTGCTTGTTCAGTTGCTCAAGCAGCCTGATGTCATTATTCCAGATCCTAAAATGTATCACCTTGCTTCCGTTTACCCCCTTATCTGAACACTGTGGGATAGGAAGCACCCCGTGACCCCCCCTTTCACAAGTTTCCCTAACCAACTCTCTGGAACCCCCCCCTCTCCCCCCCTGGTTCTGGAGTCGCGAGCAGGATCCAGAGGTTATTCAGAATCCTGCGTCGTCTGCCAACTGACAGCAAAGTAGCAATAACATCTCTGTTTGCTTCTTATGTTCTTTTTCACCAAGCACGCCTTTCACATTATGGTGGAGGTAAGAGCAGTTTAACTGAAGTTGAAATTACCAGTCCCCTCC